CTGAAAATGATTTAGATATTGATACTGATGATTTGAATAAATTTATTGGGATAGTTATGTTTTCTATTATCAACAGTCGTAAATGTTATAGGGATTATTGGTCTAACGATTCTTTGTAGCATTCCGATACAGTTTCTGAAACCATGTCGCCTAATAAGTTTGAAAATATAAATAATAAATTTAAAATGAATAAAAAAGAAGATAGAAATGATGCAGATAGCGTATGGAGAGTCAGAAAAATAATAAACATTTTTCGAAAAAATATTTAGCAATTTGATTTTTTTTGTTCTGCCCTTTCGATCGATGAGATGATGGTTAAATTTTTTGGTCGTACCATACTCAAACAATTTATAAGAAATAAACCTGTACGATTTGGAATAAAGCTTTGGGCGCTTTGTACAATTCAGGTATATTTATTAGATTTTGATGTTTACTGTGGTCACGATTCAAGTAGCGAAGAAAAATGTGCTTTGGGTTCTAGAGTAGTGATCAAAATGTTAAAAGAATTTTTTCAGAGAAAGTCGGCAGATGAAATTTTGAAATACCACGTCAGTTTTGACAATTATTTTAGTTGAAAAAACATGGTCTCAGAGCAACTGGGACAGTAAGAGACGAGCGAGTTTTTACTAAAGATATGTTCAAAGAATTATTAACTTCTAATCAAGAGAAAAATAAAAGAAAAACAAAGTCTCTAATTTCAAATAAAGTTAAAACTGTTAAAAGATTGACTAACAAACAAACAGCTAAAAAACAAGCAGCTAAAAAACAAATAGCTAAAAAACAAGCAGCTAAAAAAGTAAAAGAAAAATATACGAAAGCAACGAAAAAAAATAATACAAAAAATGTAAAAAACGAAATAAATAATCTAACAAAGAAAAAATCAACTTTGAAAGCAGGCAAGCAGACAAAACAGAAAGCTAGCAAACAAAAAGTAGTTTCCGAACTTGATACTTTAAAAAAAACATACCATCGATAAAAAATCTGAGCGTGGTACTTATGTAGTAACTCACGAAGTAAATAGTGGCATAAACTACGTTACAGTAAAAGATTCTAAAAATGTTTCTATCATTTCAACTGCAAGCTGTGTTACACCATGATCTGAAGTGGAAAGAACTGATAAAAGTATTAAAAAAAAAATTCCACTAGAGTTTCCTTTGGTTTTTATAATTTATAATATGTTTATGGGAGGTGTTGATCTTCATGATCAACATTGCAGTGATTTTCGACCAACTATTCATGGTAAAAAGTGGACATTGCCTATGTTTTGTAGATTTATACAATCATCACTAACTAATGGTATGGTCTTATATAATTTAATGCATAGTAAGAAAATATCAGCTAAAGAGTTTGTCTCGAATGTCATAAGAGTATACTTGAAAGGAAGCGAAGAATCACTATCTCAACATTCACTCGTCATGATTCCTAAGGCACGCAAAGTATGTAAGGTATGTAAAGATCGAACTACTTATCATTGTTATGATTGTAAAGAACATTCAATGTTTCAGATCCTACCATGGTTTGCATCAAAGTTCTCAAAGATATACACAACAAACATGTAAATCAGGAGAAAAGTGTGATAACTAACGTACTAACAACTTTTGCGAAAAATGCGATAAATACATATGTTGTAAATGTTTTGACAATTATGATCATACTTTTTCAACATCTCAGTAACTCAATTATTTACTACTACTATTCACTAAACATAATTGTTACACTGAAAATGATTTATAACTATATATAATGAAATATCAATTTATTAGCTTCTAAAGCATATAAAAATGTGTACTTTATAAAAAAAAACTCAAGTAAAAAAAATTCAATTTGGCAGCCATTTTGAATGCGCCATATTTATTTTCGGTGCACGAATTTTCAAAAATCAACACCAGATATCAAATCAGTACCCTCAAAAACACAAGAAATATATATTTTCTCATTTTCCTTCATTTTTCAGAATTTTTCAATTTTTCGTCCGCCATTTTAAATTTTGAATTTTCAAAAATATCAATAATCGATAACAGAAGTTCTACAACCATACTGAAAGTGAAATAAAATTGTTTAGTAGGTATACGTTACATACTTTACTCGAAAAAAAAGGAAATTCAGTTAAAATAAAAAATGAAATTTTCACTAAGTTTGAGCAGCCATATTGTTTTTGGATCGCAAAATTTTGAAAATCCGTTGCAGATTCGGAAAAAGCAAGTCTTTTTGCTTCGGAAATGGTATTTTGCATGTCGATTTCAAGCGATTATACCCATTTTACAAGACGATGAACCAATCGGTAGTCTCATGGTTGATTGGGAAGAAATGGGTTAATTAAGAACAATCTCTCACGATGCAGAGCTCACCGCCGCTCCGTTAATCACGTATGAGTATGAGTATATACGCCTTTACGTTTGATACTTTCGTTCCGATGTCTCCTTTTCCAACAGAGTTGAACTCACCTTAAGTCACTTGACATGTGACACTTGCTTACTTAGATGTTAGTGACCTAATTTTTACTCCAACTATTCCCTAGATGAAATCGGTTTAAAAAAAATAACCGGTGACGGATCCGTTAAACTAAAAGGGAACGAAATAACGTAATGCGGCGAATAAAATCAAGATCGTTTATTACTAAAAAACTACAGTCTTCGTTGGGCCGAAAGACTTGCGCACGCGTATAGGATTTATAATTATACGGGAAGAAAGAGAATTCAAAATTCTGCCGCGAAATCTAACGCTCGGCGCGAATATAAAAAACGGTCGCGTTTAACAAAATACTTTCACAAGTATTTTGTCGCGCAGAAAAAGGGAGGTGCACCTACCCTGCGGTGCAATTACAGTGATCAGCCGTAATTGTTGTTGGCAAACAAATTCTTCACCCTGGAAAGGCTGCGCTCGTTCTCCTTGCTACCAAATCGGTTGCTGCGCGTTTAAGTCCTCTCTGTTGCTGGCTCAGCTGCTAATTTATCATATCTCGTTGACACTCACGCACGTGCAAAAGCCAATAAACTTTTGTATTGGCAAACGGCAAAAACACCATAGAAAATGTTGGCAGTTTCCCGAAAACCAGCTGAGTCTTAACTGAAAATTGAACTCTCGCGCGACCCTTCTCTTTTAATCGTTCGCTCTAGCATCGGAGTGCTACCGAATCGCGAACGTATTGATTGATCGAATCGACTACCGTTGCAAGATATATTTAGGATAATGAACTCATTTATTGTTATTTTTAAAATCTTTTACCACGACGAAATTTTCAATGTAAATAACAGTAATATCTTTCAGATAACCTTGAACTTGATGTCAAACAAAGTTTGGAGACAAACGAAGGTTAGATTTGATTTTAGCTGATCAAAATATATGAAAATTTGCTAGTTGCTATTTTTTACTTCAAATGAACTTGAAAACGAGGTGAGAGAGTCAAAATAACAATAGATTAGGTATCAGCTCGTCAAAAAGAACATTTATTGTTTTCTCTGTACAGTAGCCACAAGATTTGACCTTCAAATGAACTAGAAGATTTATCTAAAAAATTAAAAAATTATTTATCTGAACGTAAAAGTTTCTGCCTTCTCCGAATCTGGTATCAAACATTTAATTGTACGTAAATAAGAATTATACCTTCAAATGCCCTTAAATCCGACGTGATGGAGAGATACGAAGGTTAGATTCAAATTCAGCGTACTAAAATACATGGGATTATCCGAATCGTTTTATTTATTATATTCAAATTGCATTTTGTGGTCCTGTATAATCCATTAATCTTTAATTTTGTTACTTCTAATAGCTCAACGGCCTATCACACCTATCTCAAGCCTATCCACTGTCTTTACTAACGTAGGTTTATCAAATTTTACTATTGCATTCAATAATATTTGTTAATTTTTATAGTTTAGTTTAGTTTTTAGTTTAGTTTTTAGTTTCCTGTATCCTGCACCGTACAATCGGTTTTCAGGGCACCTCACCCACCACTTCCATATTGTGTGCCGTTAGGTGTTCCCGAGAAGCATCGGACTACCGCGGTTTCCAAAGATAGTCATTTATTCGCTTCTACGGTGGGTGCTCAGCATGAGCTCTCTGGTGTTTTTTGTAATTTTTTGGTGCACTTTCGTGCGATTTTGTTACCAGAGTAGCTCACGCCTTGCGTTGCGACGAAACCTATAGTAAAGCGAGGTTGTCAGCCTGCCTCGGTTTACTGGACCTACAGTTTAATGCTCCGTAATTTACATTACTTAAGCCAGTGGAATCCGAACCACTGCGAGAACCGCGGTGTTGTTGCTTTTTGACACATATACAAATTTTTCTTTCGAAAAAAGTCAAAGGTGCCCGCACCGGGAATCGAACCCAGGCCTCCCGCGTTAGAGTCCTGCGTTCTATCCACTGAGCCACCGCGACTCTCTGTTAATTTGTATAATATTATTAGCTGATCCTCTATCAATAAGCAGATTAAAGTATGTATTAGAGAAATGGTTTAGAATTGAAATATATTAAAATGTATCAGATTTTAAGTAGGCTTTTTTTATTATTGCATACTTTATTATAAAATTTATTTTAAGAATGAAATTAATACTCGTTGCGCGAAAACTAAGGTACTCCATCGTTATCTCGGGCTACTGACGAGAAGGCTAGGAGTTGCTGGTGATGTTCGTACCCTCCAGAGATTGCCTGAGTCTCTCCGTGCGAAGATATGAACGTATGTCGGATACTTTGGACAGGCTTCGTATTAATGAATAGAGAAATGACTGGATTTTCCCAAATTGAGAGGTATTGAGGAAAATGGTGTCACATAAAAAAGACAGTGTATAAATACTCAAGACTGACGAAATAGTTTCAGGCATACTGAAAAACTCCATGGATAGATCTCAGATAAAAATCTTTAGTTTTTCGAGAATAATTTTGCATAACATATTATTCTACTTTTATTTTTTTAAGAGGATATGTAGGAAATAGCACATATATATAATTTATATTCACAGATGTGAACACGAATAAACCTTTAGAACAAATCAACTTCTTACCTATAAGATCAATGATAACCATAGGATCTTCGCCATAATTATTAGAGTTCGTCTTCCTTCTTTGGTGATCTGGTTCAGGTAGTAAAAATGCTGCCACATATGGAGTAAAAATTGCTGTATACATAACTAATATTAAGATTATCCAATCCCATACAGCTTTGAATGGTGAATAGTGCAAAATAGTCCACTTGTGAATTCTTGGGGATTGCAGTTTATATTCAGGAAGAACATCTGCACCCAAAGACAAAACCTACAAAATAATAATTACCATTACCATATTAACTGGATGATTACTGATAAAATCATTGTACAACTAACAAAATTTAAACATGAAGAAAATGTAATTAGTAACGAATTACTAATCAGTGAATTTTATCTTATGTAATATAAGTTACGTATTATTCTATTTATGAGAATAATTTATTTGTTATTTTATAGATAACATTGTATAACTATAAAAAAAATTATGTAACATTTTCTTATTCATCCGGTGGTACCTGGAATTATTCTTTGGTAAATTAATAGTAGGGATTTCCCCACGACTTGAAAACGCCATAAGATCATCATTATAATTCTTAGTATAATAATTGTAATGGTTGTATATACTCATATCAATTGAATTTATTTAACTTTGTAAGTTAAGTATTGTTACTTTCAAGCTGATTCAACGTTTGGTCACACTCTACTCGTAAAACTAAAGTATTAGTTGATCAAGTGCAATCAAGTGTAGTAACTAATAAATTTAATATAAATTTATTTTTTAAACAATATAATGAAAACAAATTAATGGAAAAAATGGCCATCCAAGCAGGGACATAATATCTCCCCTAATTAAAACAACATCGAAGAATCAAAAACTGTAAACAGCAAAAGACAACATACTAGCCCAGACAATGAAATACAAATAAGGAACGACCAGGCTAGTTATTAGATTACTAGCTAAATCAAATCACACTAGTATGATGTTCTTCGTGATAATCGAAATGAAAAAGAGAATATAGTAAAAAAATTAATCTTCTCAAAGTTTCGTATATAATGTAGAGAATATTTACCCATTTAAAAATCTGTTCAAAGCTAAAAACAGTTACATATTCCAAGTAGTGGGCAAAATAAAATTAAAAATAATTGACAACGACAGAAAAATATCTATCAATAATCATTGCATTAACAGAAAACACGCTTAATTTTATCCGTATCAGCGTAAAGATAATAAGATAGTTAAAGTGGTATTCAGAAGTATGTACTTATCAGTGGATATTAATGATTTTAAATCTACCATAAAAGAACACAAACACAAGGGAACAAGCATATGAAATATTCAAGTCCTACGTAATATTCAGAAATAAAACATGATTATAATAGTAAGAACATGTGACGAGAGCAAGCAGTACGCTTGCTCCTCGTCTGCCCTCCTTCTCTCTCTCCCTCTTATCGCTCGGCATGGCGACGTGGCCAGCGTTGGGCGCATATATTTATTGCGCCTAACCACTGGCCTTTATGTTTTTCCAGCCGCCGAAGAATGCCGAGCAAGATTGAGAGCGCCCGAAGAAGGAAGAGCGCAGCGACTATGAGATAGAGAGAGACAGAGACAGAGACAGAGAGAGACAGAGAGAGAGAGAGAGAGAAAGTTAGCGAGCATGCTAGAGTGCGCGCCTATGCACGTACTATGCAGGTTTGGGCCGGCGTGTGACGCGCGACCAATTAGCGCTTTTGTCGCACGCCGCCTAATGAGTGGGCTTGGTGGGGAGAGCCCGGCGAGAGTGCGAACGCTGACCATGCGTCAAGGTGCGTGCAACAGTTTCCGGAAAATAGTTAAGGAGAGACGTCAGACTTAGATAGCGCCCGGAAGAAAGTATCAGGGAGAAGTTAGAAGTAGCGAAGAGAAAGAAGCAGCGCAAAGAAAGAAAGAAGTACACGTGCAGCAGTGACCTGACCAGGGCGAGACAAGGCTACGTGTGGCGACAACACCTGCAGCAGGGCCTTCAGTGCCGCCCCCGCCACCGTGCACGGTACGACTTCCAGTGGGTTCACCACGGGCTACGCCGAAGAAGACGTCCAGCCAGCGGCCAGGTCAACTCCCCGTTGCCGGCTCATCGCCAAGGACAAAGGTCAGGTTATCTCTCTCTCCCAGTATTTCTCTCTCTCATGGTGATGCGCGGCCGCGTAGGAACGATAGGTAGTCAGGCAATTACTTGTCGGCTACGCCCATCGTAATGCGGTAGTGAGATTTCGATGTATCCTTTTACTTGTAAGGCGGCAAATGGTCAAGGTGATTTAGTCGCCGGGCAATTCATCCTCCCGCGTTAGTTCAAATCGTTCTGTTCATGTGCGCGTGATGTAAACTTTTATTATAACCGATCTTGTATTTGTTTGTCTGAATAGATTTAAGTTCTGTGTTCTAATTAAGGAAAATTATTTATTCGTTCGGCCTATCCTCTCGTGCCCCGATTGTTAAAGAGCGAAAGTGCCTCTCTTACTCTCCCCTTAATAAATTGGTGACGTTAGTGCCGAATAAGGCGCTGCCCTCGTTACAAACATATATAAAGATTATTGAATATCATAATTAAATTTGAAAAAAAGAGATGCGCTCCAATCGCATAACTGTCAAGAACTCGAGCAAAAATTATTAAAATAAAAGACTAATTTATGTAAAATACAAAAAGCAACACGCAACTGAAGACTGTCTAATTCAAGAAAAAAATTGAAGATGTTAAGTGTACAATTTGCGGAGGAAACAACACTCCAAATTATGAAGGATATACACTTCACAAACAGAAGCAACAACAATTATGACCTAGAGTAATAAAGTAGACTTTAACTCAAAATAGTAATCAACCTAACTTATTTATAAATATAATCAAAATCACGCTAAATAAAATATTCGCCCAAGTCAAAGCAAAAGAATGAAGTATCCACTGAATTAAAAAAAATATTGTATGGAGAAAAAAACTAATAACTGCAATATTATCTTATAACATTGAGTCTAATAGAAGTTGTAACGAGGAAAACCGCTTAATAGCGATTTACCCGTCATCCCTGGCCTCTCGCTGTCTGCGTGCACTATCGTTGAGTCGAGCATCGATGTAATTGCGTTAACGCATTACTAATGCCCGGTTTATATTATTTGAGGTGTTAGACTTAGAGAGTATCAGCTGCACAGCTTCCGGCAGGCCATAAAGGAGAAGAGGCGTAGGAGAGGGGAAGAGAGAATATATAAGAGAGCGAAGGATGACGAACGAGGATGATTGTACGTAAAGATTCGGCTCGAAGCGTCACCGTTGGTAGCAGAAAGGAATTGTACGTAAAGATTCGGATCGGAGCGTCACCGTTGGTAACACGGAGGAATTGTAGGTAAAGATATGGATTAGAGCGTCACGGTTGGTAGTAGAGAGAAATTGTACGTAAACATTTGGATCGGAGCGTCACCGTTGGTAGTAGAGAGGAATTGTACGTAAAGATTTGGCTCGGGGTTTCACCGTTAGTAGCAGAGAGGAATTACCGCTGCAGAAATCTTCGTGTGGTTTTGTTGGTCGGTGATTTGGTGAGCCGGATTATCCCTGATCTTTGCAGCACAACCATCGGCGTTTGCTCTATAATCCGGCGTCCGAGCCCATTTGAAGGAAAGATGTGGCAGCTGGACAACTGACACACTGTGAGCTCTTCTCTCTCTTCCTCTTTCCGCACCTCAAGAATCACTACGACTGCGCACATGATAGCCGTGGTGGCGTCGACTCCTAACAATCGGATGCTCCGCGGTGTGCAGGATTCCGACCGCTGAGCGATCTTTATTTGTCCGAGTATACCGAAGAGGCTCACTGTTGCCTAACGTGCAAGATGGCCGTTTCGTAACGGTTGAATACCTGTCCGGGAACACCGCTGCACCCCGAAAATTTATTTGTTATACAGGAATCTGTAATGCGTTTCATTATTTTTACTTATTTGCTTGTAATTTCTTTGTTATATATATTTTTTTATTGTTATTGTTAATAAAGAGATGGTTTTGGGTTTTTTATGAGTTACATAATTAAATTTTAAGTTATTTCTTCTTCCCGTCTAAGGCTCTCTTACACGCGAACGTCGCAACCTGCATACCCGGCAGGTTTTTTAGTAGTTGAAGCACTTTGCCTTCCAAATCCCCGCTTAAATAATTAGTAAATATGGTCGCGGGCAAATTTTATTGTAAGAATCGACTCTTTCTTTACAAAGCAATGAGTGGTATAATAATATTATGTTCTGGGCTTGGAGAAGGTGACGTAATTGAAAAAAGTCCTTAGGGATTCTAAGGACACTAGTGCTTTTTTCTCATTTGGTAATTTATTTAAATAGTTATAAAATATCATTAATAAATTAAAATGTTAAATTGGAAATTTATTGAAAGGGGTAATTGAAAAAAATCAAGGAACAAATCGGGGAATCGAACCCACATGCTCTGGATCAGTAGGTCAGTGCTCTACCACTAGAGCCACAGTCCTACGTACGTTGAAGAGTTCTTATTGTTATGTTAGCCGCTACACAACTGGTATAGGGCCTGAGCGGAAAGAAGAGAGGAGCGTGTGCTCGCGCTCTGGCTAACGGCTTGGTGGCTCGTTGGCGGAGGAGGAGAGCGCATGCTATCTATAGTTCTGGCTCGTGGAAACGCTATGGTAAGAAACGAATGCTCTCGTTCTCTCTCTCTCTTTCTCGCTTTCTCTCTTACGCTGGCTTAGCGTAGCTGGGGACCATATTTTCTCTCGTAGAGAGATACGTATTTTGGTTTTCTTGCTCCGTGGAAGGGAGCATTACTTGCTTGAATCCTTTCTCGTCCTTATCGAATAACGTATTACCCTAGTCATTTCCGAGAGTTAGAGAGACTGCTAGCGCAGTCACCCGACTGTTTCCTTTTTGAGATGATCCTCCGAAACATCACTTCTAGGAGGGAACCTTCTATCCCATCCATTCACTTTAACCTTTCTTGTAATTGTAATTAGTTAAATAATTAGGCATATCAATTATTTACTTGTATTTATTTATTATTTTTAATTATACATTGAGTAAAGTACACTTTATCGATAATCTTTCTGTTTAGTATTCGTCATAGCTATTTCAAAATACTTAGTTGAATTTTTATACAAATTATAATCGTCTGTAAATCTTTCGACTGTATCAATCCCTTCCAATTCTATTTCTTTTCATCTTTCCTCTCCCAACAAATAGTATATTTTTTGTGTATTTCTTGCAACGCAGATATTTTATTGAGTTTGATTATGATAT